CATGATTGATATTAATACGCTTTAATACTTTTCCTGTATCCATATGTACAGCCGTTATGAAATACATAGCATTACCTTTATGGAATAATGGTGAACCAGCTACAACATATAAAATACGTGTATGACTATTCATTGCTAAACACCATGATATTAATTCAAAGTTTTTCATTTCTTCATTCGTTGCTAATATGGTTGACCATAATGTTTTACCAGTTGTTGATAATGCAAATATTAATGGCATACTTGATAAATATGTTATACCTTTTTCATCCATAATTGGTTGTGTTATTGCGTCATTTTCCGCTATTGATTTTGGTGCATACCAATTCCATCGCAATTGAAATTGTTTAGAAACATTCCATGATGAAACAACAATTGCCCAACGTATATCGGACATATTTTGCCATGAACGTACAATTATTTGTTGATCATTATCAAGTGCAAATTGTCTTCCACCACCCGAATGACTATCACCATTAAGTAATTTTTGTCCCTTTTCATTAAATTTAAGTAGATAGTCATCACCACCAATCCAATACATATCACCCGTTTTAGAATCGATTTTATAATGACCGTTCATACCAGCACCAAAATAATTTCGATTTATCCATAAAATTTCAAATGTTGTTTTATTTATAGCAGCTGGAACAGATTCAAATGTATCATCAACAACAGCTGTTATAAGTAAATTAAATTTTTCATTAATAGCTAATGGTGAATTTATATCCATATATAATTGATAATTTTTTATACATTCTTGATATGGATGATCTGTTTGTGCATATTTAATACGACATATTTTTGCTGTATACTCTTCATTTCCTGTCCATGATACAGAATAATATAAAGTACCATTACGATCTGAAACAATATTTGATGCACCAACAGGAATCATATCGGCTACTGATTCAATGTACAATTTCCAACGTATGACACCATTTGTTGTCAAACAAATTATAAAATCGACTAAATAAAACAAAATGTACATATGAATAAGTGTCACTGATTATATATCTAAGAGTTTCTCAGAGATTCCTCAGAGTTGAATTTTTTTGTCTGATGTCGTTGAACATAAAGTCAATATGAAAATCGGGAAAGGTCAACTCTAATCATCACTTCCTCAAGAGCCATTGCTTGGGAAATACGCTCCTATTTGAAACATGAGTAGTACAGATGAACTGCTCTTTATGAACAAGTGCATGAGCATGTACAATACGGCACGTGTGCCTCTATGTGTAGAATATACCAGCATTGTGTACCAATTTATATGTTTTTCAATATTTCTTTCTATGATGAAAACATAGAAGTGACTCAGAATTGTTTGATATGTAGTACAAGTGCCGGTGTACTAGAAATAATACCTTTGATATAAACAAAATATATTTGTGCATTACAATGTTATTCTAAAGTAAGCGCCAATGGTAGTGTTATCCTTGAGCTAGGCAGGATTCAATAAAGATAATTTATTGTACAAAAATTATGTCATATGGTGTAGAGTTTAGAATTCATGTCAAATATAATAGCACAAAAACTAGCTATGTAGTACATACTTGGATGATATCGTGTTTCACTAAGGAAAAAGTAAACGTCACCGTTAACTCCGCCACCAATACCCAAATTAGTAAGATCTTGTGATGACGCATTATATTCATATTGCCATGTTTTACCAGAATAATTTGTTGCTATTGATGGTATTATGTGAAAAGTATTTTGTGAATTACCTTCGTCAGTTGACCATAAATATTCATCATCGCTTACATTTGCATGTAATATTTGTGCAACAAAACAAAATAAGAAACTAACTAACAAGCATTTCATGGTTATTATTGTTTGTCATATAAATAGACAAAATTTTCACAATTGAGACAAAAAAAAAACAATATATTGACACGAATCTAAATACACATGGTCTATTCTTTCTAAATATGCAATAAAATCTAAATATTTCAGCAGCTGCTAATTCTCTCATACAGCAAAGTATGTATACTAAACGTAAATTATTTTTTGTAATACTGTTATAGAATTATTAATTCAGCTTCGCTTCACTTAAGTATTGATTGTGTTCTGTTTCTTTTGAAAGTGAGAAAGAATCAAGTGGAAGTATGGGCAGTAAGCAACTTCTGCTTGGTTTTTGCCAATGATTCATGAGATGTAGTTCTATTTCTTTTTGATGAAATCACAACAAACATTAATACAAATATCTCGCATTTCATGCGATTCTATCAATTCACTATTTATTATCTGATTTCATTACATCAAAGAAAATATTCGGTGAGAGATAGATCTCGGTTACCGCAACAATTTTGTGAAGCAAAAGAGAAGAACTTTCTTCATCTCATCATTGCAACCACTTGAATTTCTAACTGATTCTCTGAAAAACAAGCTTTTAACACTTTCGAGGCAATTCTATTAGAGAGTAGCTCTAACAGATTCATTCTCGTATGCATTGGTCTTTTGATAAATGCATCCTTTGGTCTTTTCAGTCTGTGTTGCCAGTTGTTTTTCTTTTTTTTCTGGCGATCTTTACCCTTTGTATGCATTCGAGATTTTGTGCTACGATGATAATTCTTTAAAGGATAACAAGAGATATATAAAAACCCTTTCCTTGAAATTGTGATTGAATGATGGTGATTCTATAACTTAGTCAGTTATATATACAGCTATCTCCACAAAACAAAACGGTGAATGAATAGTGAACAAAAAAATACTGCCAGAGTTATTGTGTTTATCAAAATACTCATTCTTAAGGTCTTTGACCAGAGTTGCCACCTCTTCTGCTTTTAGCAGAAAAATTCTGCTTTTTGAAAGTTTTTCTGCTTTTTAAAAACGTCTTTCTTTTTATAATTTATATCGACAATCTTGGATTCTGGTAAGTGATTACACTAAAAATGTGAGAAATATTGGTATCTACATTTGCTAATGTCTCTTCTAACTCTGATCCTTCGTTTTTGAAACAAAACCTATTTTCTGCTCTTTATAGAAAAGCGCAAATCTTATTTTCATGGTTCGTCTTGACTCTTTTCTTAACCTACCTTTTCCTTTTCTTCTAGAGTTTGAACTATGAGTATCAAGATCATGTGTCCTGCAACAGTTTGTAGCATTGAAATAATGCACGTACACTTTGAGTACATCTTTTTCCTTGATTAATCAATCCATTAAATTTAGTTTTTAACAAATAGTTCAACTAGTCTAATAATAACTGAGATATTCAAAATGATAAAATTTCAATTTCCAACATCAGATAGTGCTGTAATCTTTTTATTCACAGCTAGTCGTAAGGAGTAATAGGTGCCACCCAGGATATTAAACTTTCTATTGTATAAGAAGTCATATTTCATCTATATATCAGTTCGCAATTCTATTTAATATTCCGAACACACACGGAGATACGCTGAAAAGAATACAAATACATAGCACTTCGTGACAGAATATAACTTAATCTGAGACAAAAGGGACGAATTTTAATCGATTCGATTCTTAAAAAGATGTTTATAGTTGACTTAAATTTATCTTCGTATAAAAATAGATTAGCTTTTCTACATATCTAGAACCAAATGAATTGAATTCTCTAATGATGTCATCAATACTGGGATGTTTCTAAAAAACCTAAACATGTGAAGGAATTTTATTCGCATTATCGCTCATCATTACGTACAAAAGATCTGAATTCTTTCTTTCGTATATAAGAATAACCTATAATTCTACAATCTAAAGCAGAGCTTCAGATCCAGTTATGAAAAGTATTTTCAACAGTTTTTATAGCTGATTAACTCTATTTTTTGAAACTCAGTGTCATCAGTCGCTCCGTAGACAGAAAAATCCATAGAAACTGATATTAAATTATATGAACGTGGCGAATATCGATCAATGACTTACTGGAAACTATCAATTCAGACGAAAATATACATTGAAAGAAAATGTGCTACTAAAAAGTATTTATCTGTTGAATAGTTTTTACTCGAGTTCACATGAGAAAGATTGGATCTTGGTGAGAAACATTCTTCTTGTGGCAGTGAGAAACTGCTTCAGATATGGCTTGGCATGAAAAACATGCTTTCTGCTTTTTTTCTGCTTTTTCTGTTTGAATTTTCTGTCGATTTCTGTTTTTTCTGAGGCATTTTATGCTTTTTGAACACTACAAGGTGGCAACTCTGTCTTTGACTAACAAATCCAACTGTATCATTTTTGTGTACTCAAAAAGTGAGTACACTCTAGAATCGATCAGTGTGTCCGTCCGGCCGTCCGTTTACACGATAACTTTTGAAAGAAGAGTCCGATCGCGATGAAATTTTCTACATAGTTCAGTCTTAACAATATCTCGGTCGAGTTCGAAGATGAGAAGGATTGGCCGAGCCCTTCCTGAGTTATTGCAAAAATACTCATTCTTCCCTATACTTTCCCTATGAAAAGATCGACCCATTTCCGCTTTCGTAAACAACTTTTCCTATCATGATTAACTAAAACCCCAACTATTATATACCATTCGATAGAGAATTTCAAGAGCTACAAAATGGTTTATAAAACATAAAGAAACAAGAAGGGTGACTCACCTATCACAAGGATAATTAAAGAGAACTAGGTTATGTTTTTGTCCACGATCTAATTAATCCACGTTTAGAGCTCTATCTTCCGATCACAGGGATGATGCTTCGAGATTTTCTGGGATGGAGAACTTGAATCTGTACTCCACTTCATCGAAATACTATTGGTTAAGCAGTGACCAATAGAAATCAAGTTATAGGAAAAACGACTTTCTTAGGGTTCATCAAGGTGAAGAGTTCAAATCTGAGCTGTATTCGCCTCCAAATCCTATTGGTTGAGCAATAGCCAATAGAAATCAAGTGTTTATAGACAAGGTTTACCAGGATAATTTTTATGGCCACATATTCTGAGATGACTCATCTGTCTCATTCACTTTTTGAAGTACACATAACTCTCGGATTTAAATCCGAGATTTCCACATTTATTTTAAATTAACTTTTCTCAACCATTTTTTTTGAAAGAAAATAGTTGAAAATTGTCTTCATATCATTTGGTTACTTTTTAAAAGCCAAATTATGGAAC